CCTGTTCTACACGTCTTATGTTTCCAGCTTTCATTAGCATGCATTCAAGCCTGTGAGTTTCTGACTTCCCCAATGACCATAGTCCCACTGGATTCCCTTCATTTCAGGCTGCATCATCATTAGCACTTATTTCTTAGACTCATCCATGGGCAGAATTGCTAGTTCTCATCTTCCCTCTAAAAAGCTGGAGTTCAACTAATGCTACCCTTCACATCACCCTAACCCCAGTCCCTAAGCCCAGGTCATTACTTTTCATATTTCAGCTTTCTTTCAGTGTTGGGAACTTGTTACCTTGCCTCTCAATTCTAGTACATTGACTTCACTCAAGAAAGACAAAGGACAGAAACTCTTGCAATGGCATGAATTAATAATGGAGGAAGTGGAGAAGTCTATCTTTGCAGTGCAGAAGATGTGTGCGTTGCTTGTTGGAGTAATCCTTGGGGAGGGAGAGATTTCAAGTTCAGCATTTATGTGGCACATTTTTCAGTTAGTCAGTATACTGTATGGTATTTCCCTTCCTCCCTTAGCCCAGTCTCTTTTATTACCTCATGACTTCATCTCCCCATGTGACTGACAGAGCCCATTGGGCTCAATACTGATAAAAAACATCTGTGGAAGAAAAATTGTAATTTAGAAAACAATTAAGTACATCAATTTCAATTCATTTAGTTGGCCAGAAGGAAAAAAAAAAAAAAAAAACCCTATTTCAAAGAAGTAATTTGATCTGCCGTGGTCTTGGATTAAAGGGCAAGCAGATCTGTTTTTCCCAGGTTGCCAGTGTAGAGGAATGTGTTTTAGCTCAAAGGTCTAAATGAAGACATAAGCCTGTAGGTTGCAAATTTTAACAAAGAATAAACCTCTGAGCATCTCTCTAGTTTTCTAATTTCTTCTCATCTTAAAGACATTTTTCTTCTATTCTTTCTGAATTCCAAAGAACTTAAGCACTTCCTTGAAGGATGTGTTTTCCTCTGTCAAATGCTCACCAGATGCTCCTTCCATGTCTATGGAGCACTGTAAGTAACCCTGGGTTTACAATTAAGGTTCTGTCTGAAGGGTTGCATGTGCATGCATGAGTGCATGCATGCATGTGTGTGTGTGTGTGTGTGTGTGTGTGTGTGTGTGTGATTTGTGGGCTTTTCCTTCCATTTTTTGCCCACTTAGCTCAGTGAGCACTCATGGACCCATCACTCTGAAGTGCTCAGACTCTTCATGAATTATGGATTCAGTTTTTATCTACAAAATCTGAGATAATAATTTTGATATCAGTAAAAATGATCCCGAGACCCCCTCTTTTGCCAGAAACAGAAATGTAGGAGATACTCAGCCCTCCTTATACTTGCCGAGGGCCCACACTCATGCAATTGACACTCCGACTAGATCTCATTGACTTTGCAATCAAGTCTATCAAGTGGACCTTCGCATTTTCATGTTTTTAAATATAAAAGTTAATGTTCCCATTTTATGACATTAAGACACAATTTGAATTCGTAGTTCTCAGTTTCTTATGTTCATGCTCTATCAAATACAAAAGTGTCAACCATGGAAGTAAACCCTAGAAGGTTTGATTTCATAGTAACTCAGCGTTGAAAGTCTCTTGCCCTATTTAAATAAGAGAACACCAACTGACAAGATGGTTCAGCAGGAGGAGGTGCTTGCTTCCAGGACTCACAACCTGAGTTTAATCCTTCCACATGGTAAAAGGAGAGAATAGACTCTTGAAAGTTGTCCTCAGACCTCACATACCTCAGCCATCCACACACATATAAACAAATACATAAATAAATAAGTAAAAAAATAGATAAATAACTAATAAATAAATAAATGCAAAAAATAAAACGTGTATAAAATAGTACCTAGCTCAAAGTGGTTCCTCAGTTTAAAAGAAATGTCCCTATCTATTCCCCTACTTGTGTTCTCAAGAATACCCTTACTGAGGTTTTATTACAGTCCTCACCTTATATCACCCACCAAGTCTAAAGACCTAGAAATAAGACCCAGAACCTAGCACTTTGTGTAATCTGATTGAGAAATAGTATCAGGAAATGCCATTTAAAGAAGGAGTCGTTGATGGAAAGGACTTTACAAGGATCTCATTGGTTTCTTTAAAGTCTGCCTTGGGAACCAACATACAGCATAGCCAATTTGACACCATGTGTTTCATTTCGCCTACTGTAGAAGGGAATGCAATTACAATAGTATCATAAAGCCATATGGAAGTGTGGGGTTAGCACACAGTTGCTTTGTAATGAACCATTGTTGACTGACAAGATCCCTCAACACGTGGACCAGTTGGCACTAAGAGGGCTTGGAGGCTATGAAGCAGCAACAAAAAGTAGACTTGTGGCTAAAGAAGGAATGGTAGACAGAAAAGGAATGACTAGTTACAGGGTGATTGATGGGCAGTGGGAGCGGACCGAAGAGCCAGTGATAGAGATGTGGCTGAACCAGTGGGCCTACCGGACTACCAAAATTCAGGATTAGGGCCACTAAGAATAGGAAATCAATGGGTGATGTTAGAACTCTATAAAGGCAGAGAGTTTCTGTAAATTTGGAGACACAGAGTGCAAAAAGACACTAGATTTCATCAGTGGAGTCCTTAGGACCATAGGAAAGCTCCCTGCACAGTTAAGAGAGAGGAGATGGTTGGGGGCTGGGAGGTTCAAGCAGGCCTAGAGGAGATCTCAGTGGTGTCCATGGTGAGGTGAGATGAAGCGAAGATTCCTTACTTGTTAGAGATGAACAATTGAACAATGGCAGGGCAAAAGTGAGCATGGTGACATCAAAGAAAAGGCTGAGCTGAAAATACATTTTAAGATGACCAAGCCCCTGCTGCCCACCAATCCCAACCCCAGCAGGAGTGCAGTAAGAAAGCAATGAAATTATTGTGCCATGTTCTTGATGACGATGGGGATGGAAAACTACCTGCTCCTGAATCATTCATGCTTGCTGCAAAGAGGAAAAGTTGTTCATGCTCAGTTAGTTTCTGTTTGGGGTTTTATTTTTTTGTTTCTTTTGTTTCTGTTTGGTTTTAGCTTCTCCAGATCACGTCAGGACAATGAAACGATCAGAAGCAAAGGTATTACTGAACTTATCAGAACCATTTGTATTTTTTGACTTAAAAACTAGGCAAAAAAATGTGAAATAAAATTTCCAGTCTCTCTGGCCTCTGTTCTTGCCAAGAATGCTGTGGGACTGCCCCTGGAGAAGCTGCAACCCTTCAGGTCACCAGGAAACCCTGGAACTGGCTAATAAAACTTAAATGATTGTCCATACAAAGTAAACAGATCCCTCCCGAGGATCAAAAAGACTTTGGCTTCAGAGGTTTCTGAAGGTTTAGGGTGGGATAACAGAGGCTTAAAATTTAATGGTATTTAGATCCCCTCCCCTATCCACACCTCCCCTTACTACCCCCCACCCAATTTAATGGACTCTATTGTACATATAATAAGGCCTATAGGGTCTAATCTGTGTTTCAAATGTCCTTCAGTGTGGGTTCATCTATTGGAGCCTGGTTAACCTACCAAGAGTTGCATCCTTAAAAAAAAGTGACTCTCCCACTCCCAACAGCCATCGGTTGTCAATAGTTACTTAGATAAGGTTGAGGTTTCTTACCCACTTCCCTACATCTCTGCTGGGATTTTGTTGGTTTGAGCTCTCATGGGATTTGTATATGTTGTCACCATGCTGTGAGTTCATATGAATAACTAGCCAGCTGTCTGAAAAACTATTTCCTTGAGGTCATCCACCACCTCTGGCTCTTACAATCTTTCTGCCCCCTCTTCCACAATGATCACTGAGCCTTGGAAGGCAGAAGTTTGACATAGGTGTCCTATTCAGGGATAAGCACTCTGAAGCTGCTTGTTCTCTGTACATTGGTTATATAGAATTCTATGTTAATCACCATCTACTGCATAAGGAAGTTTCTCTGCTGAGAGATGCATTCATCTATGGGTATAACAAAAAGTCATTGGGATTCAGTTTAATATTCTATTTAGTAGAAAACTAGTATTAAACTCTTCTCTATGCCATGTGTCCTGTCTAGCCTCAGGTTCCTAGGCCTGAAATCTATATCAGGTATGGACTCCATCTTATGAAGTAGACTTTAAAACCAATTAGAAAGTGACTTATTACTCCCATAATATTCATACCACTATTACACAAAGAGCACATTTTTCCAGGCAGGTGATTATTATTCATAGCTGGGTAAGGTTGATGATTTATTTTTGGTCTTTTTGAGACAGAGTCTCCCTGTAGTCCCAGCTGGACTGGCACTCACTATGTAGACCAGGCTGACCTTGATCTCACAGAGATCTACCTGCCTTTTCCTCCCAAGTGCTGGGACTAAAGTTGTGTGTCACCACATCCAGCAACACATAGCACCTTCCAGTACTATGAAAGGTAGCCAGCAGAGATGAGGCTTTGAAAAGTCAACACCAGCTTGATTTCTCATTCGTTGTATGGTTCATGCATATAGTGTCTTCAGCAATAGTGTCTTACTATGAAGTTATGGTGAGTAACCAAGAGCAAGGTCAATGGCTAGTAGTGTTGGAGGGTCTATGGGACCCCTTGTCAACAGCTTCAAGAAAGGGAGTTCATTCATGACATTGGGGTTGTATTTTGTGAGTTATGGTGTCTAGAAAGGGCAATGTTATAGGGTAAGTACTTTAAACTTCTTTTTTATAATGTATCTGTATATACTTTCAGAAACTTCTATAGTGGTAGGTTTCTATAAGGCTTTATTTAAAGGCCTATAGTGTTGGTTATTCTTCAAAGCAAAATAGAACTTCTTGTCAAGAAATATCCAAAATTATACTCTTGGGATAGCTATAAATTAGTCTGTGCTTCCTTCTCATTTTTTTCTTTTTGTTATTATTTTTAATGTGTGTGTGTATTTTTACATGTTCACATGAATGTAGAGACAAGAAAACAACCTCAGGAATTATCTGTATTTTATTTATTTATTTATTTATTTATTTATTTATTTATTTTTCTTTTGGCAGTCTCTCATTGGCCTGGAACTTGCCAAGTAGACTAGACTAGCTGCCTAGAAACCCCAAGGACCTGCTTGTCTCTGCCTTCCCTGAGCTGAGAGTATAAGAGCATGTCACCTGATCAGCTTTTTTTCATGTGCATTCTGGGGATCAATCTCAGGTCTTCATGCTTTCATGGTAAGCACTTTACTGATTCAGCTATCTTCTTAGTCCTCCTTTTCATTTTTAGACTTCAAGTTCCTTTCATGACCCAATTAAAACCTTTTAAGAACCATGAAATAAAGGTTAGAGGATCAGTCCTACCTAGAAAGAATGTTTCTATGGAATCTAGAGTGTAGTGTTTTTTTCCCCCGTATATGCGGCCTGTTCTTTTACATTAACAAATCACAGTAGCAAATTCTGAGCCAAAAGAATCATTTCATAAATTAAAATTGCTGTGCCAATGTGAGGATGAGAAGATTTGCACAGAGAACTTCTCTATATTAATTGAGACCAAGACGAGAGAGAGAGATAGAGAGAGAGATCTTCCCTCTAACATCATCTTTTTATCTATAAAATACATCCAAGCTGATTGGTAAAATAGTACGATTTACTGTAACATACAGGGTGGTCTATTTGAAATAGTACTCTTTAGCACAGAATAGCTTTAAGTGTGGCCCATTTTAAGCAGCTCACCAGATGTATTGATACCTGAATCTTTCCTGTAATTATAAAAATAGGAAGGTTTCCTGGATTGGAAATGAATGTGGAAATGCAGAAAGGGTGGCTGACCTTAAGAACTATGAGAATAAATAAGTCCATGATGAAGCCTGATATCTGGAAAATAAAAGACAAGTAACTGAAAAAGAAATGCACACAGCCTAAGTGTTAGTATCTTAGTACTAGCACTAAGAATTCAGTTTTTGGTTTTTTGCTTTGCTTGAGTTTGTTTTGCTGGTCTTTGGTTTTTTGCTGCCTTAATAGTTACATTTCATTTACTCAGTCATTATTTACTGGGCATCTACTACGTGGCTTCATCTGTTGAATAGTAATAATGAAAGGGTAAAGGCAATGCCATCCAGAATTCACATTGTAGAGCGGAGATATAAATACAACTAACCATGGCAGTCACAGATGTAATGTCAGATATTCATGATGCTTTGGGATTAAAAATAGGAGGAAGAAAGGGGAAGAATCAGGGAAGGCCTCCTTATAAAGTACTTGCATATCAGAGATCTGCAGGAATTGAGGCAACCTATCTATATACCAAAGATGGAGAAGACCAAATGCAGTACCAAGAGGCCAGAATGTGCTTGACTATTCAGGAACTGCCAAAGGATATAAATGCCCAGAGAATACAAGGAAACTCTAGCTTCGCTCAAACAGACATCTTTACACATTGTATGCATGTATCAAACTATCATACTGCATCTCATAAATAAGTAAAAATGCTGCTTCAATTAAAAATTAAAAGACAATGGAGAGTGATGGAATGAGGTAGAACTTAGGTTGCACAAGTTGAGGTTGAGGTAGATAGATGATTAACCTGCTTTTGGTGTCCTCAAGCCAGTGAGCACAGAAGGTCTGAGGGTGAGGGAATAGAAGGCAGGACTTTGTCCACTACAGTTAACCAAGGCAACTATTTTCAGATTGAAGATATGTCCCTCCCAGGCAATGACCATTTTCATATCATCCCTTGTCCCAGAGCCTGAACAAGTTTTCTGTTGACCTCAGGGTAGAAAGTTATATACCTTCTTGGTATTATTTTAAGTTATATTGAAATAGACATTCTGTTTCCCAGAAAGCTCATTGTGAAGGACAGGAAGCAGATTTTATTCACTGCTATCCACTTGAAACTCTTGACACATCTTTCACCACTCTTGGCCTGTTGTGACTTGACAATGTCTCTGAAGTGCAAAGGTTATATTCTACTTTCTTTTTTTACCTTTGCTAAATAGTCAATTAACAAATCAAGTGTTTTCCCATTTCACAAGATGGAGGAACTTGTTATCAGGGCCAAGGACCTGTGGCTAGACAGCTAACAGGCCATAGGGGAGAACCTACTGCCTTTTTGCTAAATAAATATAGTATTAAACCAACCCTTTATCACTTATTGTTATACTCATCGATTAGTGAATCTCTCAGCTCTCACCAGAGAAGTTTCTTCTTGCAACAGATGAAGATTAACAGAAGCCGCAACTACTCAACATACAGAGAATAAGGGACTGAGAAGTGCTCAGCCCTAGATGGAATACCTATATTACTCCCTCTCCTCCCAAGGCAAAGGAATGATTTTAGAAGAGGGTGAGAAAGATTTAAGAGCCAAAGGAGATGAATACAAGGATGCTGTGTTGAATGGACACAACAGGACAGTTTCATATGGACTCACAGTGCTTGTAAATGCATACACAAGACCCATGCAAGCCCAAGCCAGACAGGGGCCCAGCATGGATGGGGAAGGTGAGCAGGAAGCCCCAGTCCTAGCTAAGGATCTATTGGAAACAGATATCTGCAGGGTAACAGATAGCCAGTTTTCTTTAAGAGCATGATGCCTGGTAGTTTGGCCAGACTTCAAGGAACAGACTCACACCCAAAAGCATTGGAAGAAGACAAATTGGACTCAGTGGGCCTTTAAAAATAATAGACCAAGCATGATGGCAAACACCTTTAATCACAGCACTCAGGTGGAGGGAAGCAAGTGGATTTCTACACAATTAAGGGCAGCCTGGTCTACATAGCAAGTTCCAGGCCAGCTGGGGTTACAAGAAGACCCTGTCTCAAAAAAATAAAAATAACAATAGAGGACATGAAGTTGGGCAGGGGATAGTAAGGTGGTGATGGGGATGGAATGGCGTCTGAATAGGATCAAAACTCAGTGTATAAATTTCTCAAAAAATCATTAAAAATATTTTTAAAAATTAAAATTGTATGTATTCAAGATGTAGACTGTTCAAGGTATTCATGATGATTTGATATATACATATATAATACATAATGATTATCATATTCAAACTAATATATCCATCACCCCTTATGCTGTACCTCAGACACCAAGAACTCTTTCATCTTGTGAACAAACAGTTGTTGAGGAAAGCTGAGGGGACACACCTCAGCTACACTGGCATAGAAACCAAGATACATTACCAGGGCAGAAATGAAGTACAGAGTTCTATGGCTGTCATGTTCTTGAGCCTTCATAATGAGGTTATTCTTTGTGCAGCTGGTTTTTTACTTCAGGATCTTTATCTGGTCTTGTCCACAAGATATTTGCTTGTTAGGTCATATTCCTGATTGGGATTTACAAACTAAATCCATCTCCCCAAAGTTTAATTGGCCTATTAACTTCCAGCTTTGCCCTGAACAACTTAAAAGAAAGCAGAAAATTATAACTTTGCGGGGTGGAAGTTGACTCGGGATTGAACACAGGGCTCGTGCATGTTGCACAAGTACTCTGGCATTGAGCTATACTACCAGGTCCCCAAATCCCAGGAAGACAGTTGTTACTTTATTCAACCAATAATGTTTGAGCATCTAGTTCATGCCAGTCATTGTGCCTAGATATTGAGACTGAAAATATGAAAGATACATTTCTGGCTTGTGTATTAGATCAGATAATGTACAGGCAGGAAAGAAAGCTCCACTTCTTCTAAATCCACCTTTATCTCCAGATTTTTATGGTGAGCCCATAAAGAAAACATCATTGTAACTCTCATAAGCCTCCCCTAAATGGAATGTCCAAACAGCCCAAAATTTACTAACCAAAGAGAAAAACCTTCCTACATCTTCAAACACAAATTCAACATCGCCACACCGTTACTCTCTCCCTTCTACATTAGCTTTGCAGCATTTCCCATAATTAAATCATTCATTTGCTTGAGTACATGTTCATTTCATGTCAACAATTCATCAAATTTGAAAGTTACTTAAATGTGTCCTGTTCTTTGTGTTCCCAGTACTGAGCACAATGCTTGGCATCTAATAAGGAGCAAACGAATACTTGTAAGAGTAAATAACAGTTGAGCAAGCGAATTACTCCTTATATTTTCAGAACTTATGTTCTTGTGTGCTTCTGATAGAGGGGCCATAATCATCATCATCTGGATTAAAAATAGCCTACCCTATATTCCCAAATTACATGTTAGGCATGTTTATTGTGCACTGAGCCATCAGGTCTCACCTTCCTTTCTGATCATCATGGCATTGCTTCTGCAAGGTAAGACAGTGATTTAAGTATTGTACAAGCTTCAGACTGACCAGGGTCTATGTTAAGAGTGCTCTTCGCTCCTTAGCCAAGGATCTGATATCCTATGTTAGACATCTGGGCTCCTGGCTTCTTAAACCATTTCTTCTGAAGACAAATCTTAAAGCTCCAAGCTCTACCCACATTCCAGAGAGGGTTGAGTTTCTCACTAATCTCTGTCTCCACCCTGTCCTTGGATTAGTAACCACAGAAATGTAATCCCTGTGGTCTGATCTATAAGACAAACAAGAGAAGTGCTGCTTTTCTGAGTCAATGGTTCTGACTTATCTCCCTCAGGCACTGTAGGAGGATGGGAAGAAGACATTACCACATCCTCACCACCAAGAATGACCATTCACTCCAGGTGTGTGAGTGGGGGGGGGTCTTTATTTCACAGCTTGACATTTCTGCTCACATTTAGCATGGAAAGCAATCTGCTGGAATAGAGAAGGAAAAGGGACTTGACTTCCATATTACAAAATTGAGACTTTTCCCAGAATGAAAAGAGCAGAGTCTTTCCCCAAAATGCCTAGGAAAGCTCCATTTTGTCACAGTTTACCTCACCTTATCTATTATGTTCATTATGTATTTTTAGAACTCCATACTATAGGACTTGATTATGAAGATGAAAGGAACTCTCCAGACCAATATGTTTGAATATGGAGAAAGATCCAGAGACAGCATCAATGCTTCAGCGGGCTAGTGGTCCTAGAGGTCATTTTTAGGAAATCTTTGGTAGAGTGCATCTACATTGGGCATGGTGCTAAAGAGACTGACACTGTTCATGTTCAACTCTAGCTGTGTAATCTCAGGTAAATTACTAATATGTGTTATGCCTCAAGTTGCTGTCCTGTAATATGGGAATAAAAATGGAACTTATCTCCAAAAAATATTGTGAGGATGTAGGGAATTAATGTATTATGTAACATTCATATAAATGCTTAGCAAGTATCAACAAATAAATGCTTAGCAAGTATCAACAAGTGTGTGTGTTGTTATTATCACTAATATATAGCATTGTAAGTCTGAGTGGCAGTTGATCATATATGAAAGAGGGAAGACATGAAAGCAAGAGGGTACTTGATAGGAAGAATAGGAATTTCCATGGGAGAAGGATGAGCAAGGGGGAGGGTGTGGAAACAACTGCCATTCATTACACACATGTATAAAACCAACAAAGAACAAGAACAGTACAATTTAAATAAAAGGTCTGAGTGGGATCTTAGATTGGAGTCACTCCAAAATGAACTCCAGCTCTAAGATTCAAGATTCAAGAATCCTTGGATTCTTCTAGTACATTTTATTTACAAAGTGAGGGAATTTTATGTTGGAAAAAGGCAATATAAATGATGATCGCTTTAACACTATAATAATTTATACTACTGTAATCCCTTCAAATTGATATGCAAAAAATCTTGGTTTATGTATATATGAGTATATACGTGCGTATATATGTGTATGTATATATATATGAGTGTGTATTGTGTACATGTGTGTATATTTTCCATAAAAGGACCTATACTCTTATCAAATTTTGAACTCTGCAAATAAGAAAGTCATCTCTTCTGTCATGTCTCCTAAAACACAATGTTTAGACTAAAAAGAAAACTATTTAAAGTGCAAGTTACTCATGTGGTTAAGTTTTACCACCTGTAATCTCTATAAACAAACAAGCTAGCAAGGATTATAGGGACACATGTTCTAAAATTAGTTAAATGGATTGAAAGTACTCAAAACATGATTTCAAAATAATAACTACCTAAATATCTTAGTAGAGATTTGGAGAAATGACTGAATGTATAGGGCAGTCCTGAAGAAGAGAAGAAAAACCCACCAGGGAAAGTAGAAACAAAGCAAGTCCAAGATTTGGACAGCAGAGGCTCAGCGGGTCTTTATGGACAATTCTCCTACATAATGAGTGTTTGCTTGAGGCCTCCTCTAAAAGGCCTGATTATTGACCATTATAGGTTCACATTTCCACACAGTCTACTCCAAATCGGAAGTCTGCTACAGTAGGAACACATCAGCATGCAGCTCCAGGCCTAGCCTCTTTAGAGTTCATTCCTCTCAAGACAACTCAGAAGAATAACCTTACATATCTGAGTGCTTCAAAATGAAGCCTGGGAATAAAAGAGGAAAGCCATTACCTTGACCCAGATACACTCAGGAAACTTGTAAAGTTAAGTTTATAAATCTCTGCTTACTAACCTACTTACAATTTTCCTCAAATAGAATCCAATACAAAATCTATATGTCTAGAGACAGAGTTAAACAAATAATTATTGCAAACACAAATTTTCAATTCAGGAAGCTTTATTATCATTCCTGGCTGTTATTTAAAGACACAGACTTTAAAATTCAGTAGCCTTGGTATCCAATTTGCTATGGGTGCTTTAAATAGCCACAGGATTTTGGGCTATTTTCATAAAATATCTAAGACTCAGTTTCTGTATTTGTAAAAACACAAACATCTATATAACAAGATTACTGAAATAGTAAAATAATAGATGTGCATAACTTAGTATTTACTACTAGAATTATTCTAACCTTTGGAAGAAAAATCCCAAAGTGTTGAAGTGAGGAAATGTCTCACCTAACTTCTGAGCTAAGGAAACAGACAGATAAGGTTAGTTTGCTAGGAGTAAGCTTAAATTTTCGTGTCAGGAAAACTGTATGTTAACTGATTTGCCTACAACAATCATTTCAATGTATACATCAAAACATCATGATTAGCAACTTGAAAAATTTTTAAAGAAAATAAGAAATGATAACTAGACCCATATCAATACTCAGAAAGGGTCAATGAATTATAGTTAACATGCCACTGTTTAAGGGCCCTCATAATTTATGTTTCTGTTTTAACAATGTGTATTGTCAGAAAACACTGGTAAACACAGAGGGCCTGTCTTCCACATTCTTTTTCTTTCTTAACACTTATTCCTAGAAAGAAGTGAAAAATAGACATCTTCCATGACAGACTTTTGTTCTTAAAAAACATGCTTTCTGTATAACTATGTAATTCAATGGTGCAGGAAGATTGCCACCTTCTTCCCCTTGCTAAGGCTCCAAGTGCAGGTGTAAGTTGTCTTCCAAGAAATTATTTTTAAGAACTTAACTTAAGCTACTGTTTAGTGAATTTCTACGACAGAACATGAACATGTTTACATGAATTTCAATTACTGTATTATTCCCCAATCTCAATCACTGAAGACCCTGAAGACACCCAAATATAAAAGAATATCCTTTGAAGTATCTTCATGCCTTTGACCTCATGCTATACCTGTAGTCACAGTTAGAGGTGAAGAGGAGGAAATATGTAGAAGCATTTGCATAATGTGACCTAATCCTCTGGTTGCAGTTGATTGCACAAAATGTGAGATCTTCACCTATGCCAGGACAGTTGTGACCAGTTAAATGAGAATTAAGAAAGTTAGTCACTCATTAGTCATTCCCTATGGATGTGAAAACTGGGAAACTGAGGCTATCCAAGTTTTCTGTTGTGTGACTAGGGAGGACTGAAGCCACCCACAGGGGAAGGACAATACTGAAGCATATTTCAGAGAGAAACACAATCTTGGGATGGAGAAGTTCTGTTTCTTAATTCCCAATGGTTGTGTTATCTTTGCTTGCATCCTGAAGCCTGGTTACATCCTTGACCTTGAGATTTATGTCATCTTTGTATCCATATGGAATACTAGTGAGGTAGGGCCTGACTGGAGGATGTAGGTGACTAGGGGCAGGTCTTTGAAGATTATAGCCCAGGCCCTGGTTCCAGCTACTTCCTCTGTTTACTGGTCCAACATGATGTGAGGCTCCTCCATCACACATCCCTGTCACCATGTGCTTCACCATGATTGGCGAGAACTGCTGAAACCATAGGCCAAAATAAATCCCCCCATATAAGTTATTTCTGTCTGGTTTTGTCATAGCATGCAACAGTAACTAATAAGATGCCCCACTCTCGGTTTAATATGCTGGTCTCACCTCTCAGCTGATTTCTGCTCTTCTTTCTGACTATTGATGTTTAAATATTCCAGAGCCCATCCTTGGCTGTCCCTGTTTTCATTTCTTCCTAAGGTAATCTCAGCCAGAATGACAGCCTGAAATACTAAATCTGCACTGATGTCTCTAATTTTTCACATCCAATGTAGATTCTCCTTTTAAATTTGAGACTTTCTGGGACCATAGGTAACAGGTATTATCAAGGGAGAAATGGGGAAAATGGGGGCATTTTAAATGGGAAAACCATGGCAGAAGGGTTAGACAGTGATAGAGAGGAAAGATAAATAATGCCTAGCTAGTTAATAAAAAAAGAGGGAGCCATATTAATCCAACAACCTACTGACAAATTATACATACATTATCTATACATGAGTCCATGTGTATCACTAAAGGCTACATAACAAGAAACAGTGCCAGACAGGAGAAACCTTCCTTTGAGTTGTTGGCCAGGGTGGTCCAAGAGACTCCCAAAATTACTCAGGCTATTGCCACAGTCTTTGATGGCCTCGCAGAACCTGAAGGTAAGACCCTACTGCTAAAGACAGAACATATTTCAGACACAAGATTTAGAGCTGCAACTGACCTGCAACTACTTCCCCTGAAGACTAGCTCTCATAGCTTTGGAGAGCACTATGAAGGTGCCAAGGGAAAACATCAATGGGTGGATGATATAACACCAGCTTCAAGACCACAAAACCACTTCAATGGCCAGCACAGCCTACGTCATTGGTGCAGTAGTGGCACTTTTATCTTGGGGGCAATCAACGGCTACCTAATTTGACTAAATGCCCACTCAAAGGGAGGAAACTCAAGTGTGATAATATAAACATAACCTAATACATATGGCTGGAGTGGCCTTAGGTCTTAGAGCGAACCAAGACTGTCACATTGCTAGACTAATATGATTTCTTACTATGTGCAAAATATGTATCCTTATATTTACAGAAAAATATCCCAGAACCACTCATCAAAGAAGCTCATTTTGCACCAGTCAGAGACTATTACCAAGTACCACAACTGGTCACACATGGACATTGTCTATGAATTTCCCAGGCCTAAGTGACACATCTACAGTGCAACCTCTACACCCAAGGCTCATGGAACATAGAACAGGGATAATGAAGAGGACACTAATGAATCAGTTCTCAATAAGAAGATCCCTTATGGAGTGGAGGGCTGGGAACACAAAAGGTCACAAACAGCCAAAGTGTTAAGATCAAGAGTCTGCTGAATGATAGTCCTTGGACAGAATCCCTGTATTAAACTTCACCCATCCAAGGCTCAGGGACCATCACAGAAGAGGGGGCAGAAGGATTGTAAGAGCCATGGAGGTGCATGACTATATGGAAACAGAGTCTTAAAATCCCCTGGGAACCTGCTCATATGAATCTGTGGCAGTGGTGTCAGCATACACAAGTCCCATGCAAACTCAGGCAGACAATAACCCGCATAGAACTGTGAAAATGAACAGCAGATCTCAATCTCATCTGAAGGAATGTTGGCAACCAAGCTGATGTTCCTAAAACAAGGAACTCTAGATAGGCTGACTAGATTTAGTAGATGGACTTACACTTGGGAATGGCTGGGGACACTGACAACCCAGTGAACCTTAACAGGAATGATAGAGTATATGGGCTCCAGTGGGGAGGGGTGCTATGGGAAGGTGCCAGTGGGGACGGGAATGTAAAGATGATTAAGATTGTTTGAGCTATTCTATATGAAATACACAAAACATTCAATAAAAAATTCAGACTTTCATATTCAATTGTCTCCTCAACATTTTCACTTGGTGGCATCCCCAAACCCCCAAATGTTGAGTTTAAAAAGGTTCTAATTCTGATATCTCAACATAAAACTGTTCCATTACCAACACTCCCTATGTCAAATGATAGAAACTGCAATCTTCTGGTAATTCAGGCCAAATACTACTACTTAATTGACTTATCTCTTTAATATTCTCCCCACAAATAATCATTCAACAAGTCCAATTGTCATAATTTTGTATATATCAGTGCCACCACTCTAGTGTGAGTTACTCTTACCTTTTTCCAGAATTGCTACAATATACTAATGGAGGAGTTGGTAAAACATTTGATATATGGATATTCATAAATATTTTCTGCTTTTCAGGCCATACAATGACTGGTACTTCTGTTAATGTAATGCAACTGATTATGGCAGTTTTCTAATAAAAGTTTATTTACAAAGAATGACAAGATATATTTGGATCACTAGTTAATAGATTGGTAATCCCTATTTAAAGTTCTATCTTTGCTTCTGTCTTTGCCCAGTAATCTCAGCACAGCAGCTAGAGGATTCCTTTCAAAACAGAAGTCATGTCATGCCAACTCTCTTCTCAAAATTCTGTACTAGCACCTCTCTCACAGAATCAGAGTAAAAGTCCTTTCAATGACTTGACAAGACCCCAGCCCCAGAAACATTCTTAAACCTTTATCTCTCTACATTCTCTCCCTGTGTACTTTGCTTTAGCTGCACTGAGCTTCTTGGTATTTTATAAGATTCAGGACACGTACATTGACTGTTCCTTATCTGAGATACTTGTGTTCTTAGCCTAGTCATGTCTCGACTTAAATGTCTCTTCTTCATTGGAGTCAATACAGGCCGGAATTTGAAATGACAGTCTTTCCCCGTTCTATCCAGTCCTCCTTATTTACTTTGTTTTTTCAATAATTTTCCATTTGCTAATGTTAAAATGATACATTTAGGTTTAATTATAAATATATAATTTTAGTTCAATCTCACCTAGAATATAAGCTTCAAACAAAGCCAGGGCCTTATTTTATAACCCAAGATTCTAGAGCATTAGTAGGCTTTGAAAAAAAAACATTTTGAATGAATTTGTGTAGCCTCCCCCAAGTCCTAGAGCAGAGTAAGTCCGTTGTTTTACTATAGTAACTCTTTTTCATATACCATTTAGTCACCTATTTTGTTCTAAATTATTGTTTATATGACCATCTTTTTCCCACTTCTGAGCCATAATCTCTTTAGACATATTGTACATGTTTATTGCAGAAACACATATAATGTCCTTTTTACATAGCAAAAGATCAAACCATGCCACCACAAAGGACTAGATACATATAATTCTCTGACATCAAATCTGCAAATTAGTTATTTCAAAAGTCATCAACCTCCACTCAAATATGTGTATAAACACTCACTAATTGAGATAATTTTCAACTCTTTTTCACATATTTGCTTAATTAGCTTGCAGTGACCTCTGCAGAAACACTGGCCTGTGATGATTATACAAGGTAGTTTTTGGCATGGACACTAAAGCATCAAAGAGTCAGCTGGAGCTAAGGAAAGCAATAACACAACTGGTTCTAATTACTCATGACAGGCAGTTGAATATATTGGACAGAAGGCTTCTCTTCACTACATCACTCAAAAGGGCCAGTTACAGGAAGTGGTGGAGAAAAAAGAATGAAGACGGGGCCAAAACGTGTCCATAATACAAGGCAGATCATCTTTTCACCAGTGACCTTATTTGTCTTCTTTCATACTTTTAATGAACATCCCAAATCATTAACATTTCTGGACCTTGAGACATGGGGTACTTCTATGCTTGTACTTACAAGAGGTGGCTCAGGCTCCTAGAGGCGGAAGTAGGTGACGATTACACCCATTCATGAATCACTCTATAAACCAAGAGGTCCTCCAAAGTTCATGCAGAATTGCAGACATGTTTATAATTAATTCATCTGTGAAGTACCGTGAACACTCCTACTTTTATTCAACATTCAGACAAGGATTAACTTCATTTGGGGAACCAATGAGGATTAGGAAGTTGGTTTGTTATAACCTAAAATATATATAGTATTAGGTATATACACTCACCAATGAAACTACAGGCTCTGTGTTGACCATATCCTTGGATTGAATCCTCTGAAATGCAGAGACAGACAGGAAAATGTTCCCTAATTAAGCAGCATTATGTCTCAGCACCTAATCTACGTTTGCCTGAGTTCTTACTCAATGCCTTCTTTTACCTAGGACTTGTTGGTTCTCATCACTTGCATTACTTACTCAGTATTTTGGCTCATCTTCACACCCCAGTGGTCTTGGAACTTCAGAAGCCCTCAGTTGCCCCTATTGCTTTGGTCTAATTTCTCTTTAGTGCTTTCAGAAACCTAAACTGCTTTGAATCTTTCTACTTTTAACATTACCTTTAGGAAGCCAATGCAAGGCCAAGAAGCTGTTATATGTCATTCTAAAGAGATGGAAATTCATGCTGTGAATGAATGGGGAGTCACTGGGAGATCGTATGTGATATTATAAGATTTAGATTTTAGAACAATTGGCCAAAATGTAGAAAAGAGACTGGCTTCACCCATCCTTCCCCACCAGTATTCTCAAACAAAAATAGTTTTGAGAATCAGTTTAATAACTTCTTAAGTAGATACAAATTATGTGATCCCACTTCACAGAAACAAACTTTCATAGGGATGAAATCTAGAAATCTCGATTTGTGAATTTCCCAAAAGGATTCGGGGACAGCTGGACTATGAACCAGTATTAGGGAACTAAAGTAAACTACCAATTATACCATTAGCTTCCAGATGTGCTGATAAACACAAGCAGTGTGTTTGGCCTGCTACATTTGATCCAAGGTGCTGGAGTAGGTCTCACTATAAATGTCTTCCTTCCACAAGATCTATTGATTATGTCTACAGGATCTGAAAAATGAGCTCCTTGCTTGAAAGCTTAAAAACTTCTGCTTCTACTTTGAGTCACATGTACAAACTTTAACATAACCTATTAGGTTGCTTGATCTGATTTGAAATCCCCTCAAAGCATCTCTAGTTTTTTTTTCCTTTTATCTATCACTAACAGTACAGAGAGTTGATAGTAACAAATTTTACCTTCAAATTTCTTTCTCAATTAAATTAAGGATGTATAAAAAGTTCAGGAGTTTTTGTAAAATAATATAGATCATGATATGTTCTAAGTAGAATGGTTAGTGACTTGACTCAAGAAAAGAAAGAGAACTGACTATCAACCTCAAAGACCCAACTGAATTGAAGATCATCCATTGATATCTATTCATCAATCATATTATTTACTCAATATTATTGACTCAACTGTGTCAATCATGGAAGACCAGAAAGTTAAGAGATGAAAGAATGAAAGATGCTGATATAAAAGAAATTCCCAGGATCATTCTAAAGAGAAGATTCTGCTCACTTGTTCCAAAACTTGTGAAGGACTTAACATGGATTTCATCACACTCTGCCTGTTAGGAAATAGCTCACTGTTTGGTTGGGTTCTGCTCTGACTTATTCAGCCCTGGTCTGCCTCACCTTCTGCTATACCATCATAGAGTACATGAGTAGCCTCAGCTGCTAGAAGGTGCCAAGAAAAGAAATGGGACATGATTTTCCAGACAAGAAGTGAAACTACCAAGGTAACAAATGTTTTGCAAGAATTGTTTTCTTCTGAATCTAGGGCCATGACTTACAAATATGATTTTTGTGGTGATAGCATAGCCATGCAGTAGATATTCTTTATTTAAATTGGTTCTTTGAATCCCAGGACCAAAACATATAGATGTGCTTCAAGATGAAGATATAGGAGTAGTTTGAGGACAAAATAGTTACAATAAAACATTATGCTAATAAAATTAAACTGCATTTTTCCTTTTGGATAATTTAAAATTGTGTTCATAAACTAATCCCTTATATGAATCCTGCTAGTTCAGTTTGCAGACATCGATTTCCTTCCCTTTCCTTTGATGCCTCTGTTTCCAGTGCACATTCATTTCATTCAAGGAATGAGGAGCAGCTGCAAAAAAAGTAGGCAGGGGAAGCCAGTGGCTAAAATTAGATCATTGATGACATTTGCTTACATGTTCAGGGTGAAACTTCAGGGTACAACATTTTCTCCTGAAAGGAGACACTTCCTCCATCAGAGCAATGTGGACTTTGTTATCAAGTTACATCCGTATTACATCCTTAGGTAGTAAAACTGACCCAAAATAAGAAGTAGAGCTATGTACTTTTTCTGCCAAGAGAGGTTTTAAAGAAAAAATTAATAGACTTGTTTTCCTAGGATTATTTGACTAGTGCCTTATTAATTAGGGGAAGATGTTTGTTCAGAACTAGTAATACCAAGAAGGAAGGACATACAATATAGCAGACATGAGGGCAGGGAAAGGGGTCTAGAGTTTCTATCCCCATCCTGTGAATAACTATATAACATAAATCATCAGTAAGCAAAGCAGTTTAGAATTCATGAGTATTGTTTCTTCTTTATGTTTTCATTCACACTTATACAATTCTGATGCATACAGGCAGCTTCTTAAAGCACTTCTCCTGGTGTTTTACTCTGTCAGAAAACCCATGGCATATGTATGTCTTATTACAGTAAGTGCATAGCTGTGTGTGCACGTCACTGTGGGTGCATTATATTAGTAAAAAGGTGTTCATACTACATGATCTTTTCCAGACATGCACTGTATCTCTTCTTTCCATATCTGTCTGGATTACACAGGGCACCTTGAAGAGGACCCAAAGTTCTGCTGTTCAGTTCAGTTGTTCATTCCCACTGCTGATCAGGAGTGTCTGCCACGGTGCAGTGCAAACATCCACACTGGAACACACTGCTCTGGAAAACCCTTTTGCTGCTCCTGGCCCAGCACCACCAGTCCACTCTTCCTGATGAGGCTCCGGAGGATGTCCATGTCCCGAGTCACACTGCTGTCAGAAAGATCAAAGATACAGCCCTCCCGTGCCACATTGTCCTTCAGTATGATAACACCATTTTCTCTCAGGCCATCTCGGCACCGGGAAAGAAATGCAAGAAGGTCCTTATCAGTCAGATACCCTGCAGAGAAGGTCAAGTTGGTAGGGAAAGAGAATGAAATAGGGGGACAGAAAGGAGACAAATAGAAAAGAACACAAGGCTAAGAACCAAGAGAATTCCATTTGTACACTCACACATATTATTTAATAGCTTACAGTGTTTTAGTGGCAAGAGTCTTTGAAAAGTTAGATAAAAAGACATATGTCTTTTAGGGGTATTAATCCCTTGTCTTTAAAATAAGTATCATACTAACTGTTCCATGAGCCCCTTTATGTTAAGCACGTGCACACATATGAGAGAGAGAGAGAGAGAGAGAGAGAGAGAGAGAAGAGAGAGAGATCTGATTCATTGCTGTTTCATTTCCTAGGGATTTAAGTCTCAGAATGTTTAGTTCTGCCAATAAGTACTGAGGATTAGCCATTTATGGGCCCAGTTTTTAAGTGTTTTCAAGTGTTTACATTTGTGAAAAGATTTAGATTGTTCCAAAGGCATTTATTCTATCCCTGAAGGTAGGAATTGTCAAGCTCGTACAGAGAATGCTAGGGGAGAGATTTGGGTGATCAGAGTCATTGGGTGTTCACATGACAATTAGAGGTAGTCAACTGCTGTGAGCACAACTACAGTTAGGTTCCCCCACCTTGGGTCTATGTTAGCCCAAGTGTCACCTTCCCCAGCTGAGAAATGGGGAAGGGAAAAAGGTGTGCCATGCAAGACTGACCTGAGACCCACTGAATCCAAATGACATCATATCTTCCATAGGGTGGTGTGAACTCCTGCAGGCCGTAGCAGTGGTAGCTTTCTACTTTGTCTTCTTTGACCTTCAGATAGCTCTGGGCTTCAAGGAGGAAAGGTTCCATCATGTCCACAAGTTCCACGCTATTGAAAACAGGTAATAAGACGTGCTTGCTGACCCTTCCTATCCCAGAGCCGCAGTCCAAGGCACAGCTGGTTCCTGCTCTCCCTGGCCCCTGTAGAAAGATACTTTGTGGGCCTTTTCAAATACAGAGACTCACTTTGAGTCTTGGACATTAAAATTACTTCTTTAATCAACTTTATTTGGGTCATTTTTATATAATAAAGTGTTTGATTTAATGAATTTGTACAAATGTATGTAGCTGAGATTCTACTACCACAAATTAAGATATAGAATACTTAATTACCTTTTTCAAAAAAAAATAGACAAATAGTTATAGGTCTACTCTTTTGTCTGAATATAGCTCTTTTAAAAAGTGGCAAAGCAAAAGCACATTTTTTTTTTGAGACAGGGTCTATGTAGCCCTGGCTAGACTGGAATTTGCTATATAGACCAGGCTGGCCTCAAACTCACAGATCTACCTGCCTCTGCCTCCCAAGTGCTGGGACTAATACCATACCCCGCAATTTTTGTTATATTTTACTGTTTTTACTGTGTGATATGTGTATGCATGTGGAATCGCATATTCATGTGGAGGTCAGAGAACAACTTGCAGGAGTCAGTCCCCTCCCTCCATCATGTAGGTCCTAGGGATCAAATTCAGGTTGTTCATCTTGGTCAAAAGCACCTTCACCCACTGAGCCATCTTGCTGGTCCACAAACTAAATTTTCAAAATAAATGATATCTTAGGTTCTAATACTTGGTGTCTCCAAAAGAATGAGCCATCAATAGCTCTATGAAGATATAAATTGATGACAAGGATGGCTAAATAGACATGTTCTGTAGGTTATTGCTTTGTACAAAAATTATTAAGGGGTGGGGCGGACAAGAAGTGAACTTTGATGAGTTTTAAAATTAGTTGAAACATCCATTTTATGAAACATTCCAATTCATACTGGAATGACTGAAATTATTTTGGCTCTGTTTGGAGGTGGGGCTCAGAATTATCTCCTCCTCTCCCACAGGTGGCAAAGTTTGAACCTGAGCTGAGGAATCCTCCTTGTTCCATTCTGTCTGACCATAATTTTATTTCAAATCCAATCCTGGTGGTATAGAACATGTTCACGTGGATAAAGGGTCGTTTTTGCAGCTTCTGTCTCCTTTAATGTGATTTTTTTAAAATTTCATACCAGAAACTCCATGATACTGAAAAAAAAATTTAAGTAAAGATGTGGATTAAATTAACTAGGAATGAAGGGATGGGAAGTTAGTAAGGATATCGAGAAATTAACTAATATAAACTTTCTCAAAGTTGCTTCTACACAATTTAAAAAAGGTTTAGGATTTATGAAGAAAGCCTCAGCTGGTTTAAATTATTTGGTTGTAATTGGGATGGCTGCTAAATAGGTTTTGTGTTAGAAATTACAGTAATAAGATACTTGAAATTACCAATCAAGATCTTAAGGAGAAAGCCTACTCTTGATTTTTCAGGAACTAAGAATTAAAAAAAAAAAAAACCAGTTGGCTGAGGATCAAAGGTAAGAGTGAACAGAAGGAAACATCAGAAAGCCTGCCTTCCAGTCCATCCAGAAGGCTTCTTTATGTTAGAAAGGTTCGACAAGGACAAAAAGTGAGGTGGTTTTAATGTCTTTTCAAATGGAATAACAGCCATAATAAATGAGTGTGTATGTGTCATATGCTCTGTATCCACAATAGTTACAATAATAGAAAACTTCCATAGGATGATGATGATTGTTCCCACTTTGGAGTTCTGAGAACTCAGGCTTCTATTATTACATAGCTAGTGGCAGAACTAGAATTTGAGTAAGAACTGCCTGACCCAAACCCAGTCTACATTAGGATTGTCACCTAAAGTGAATTCAGATTCCTTTGGTAGATCTATCTAATGGTATATTCCAAAGATTTCAAAGGCAGGAAAAGAATATAGGATTAATTAGTGATTCCTGTCTGGGTCTAAGAAGGGAAGCAGTAGGTAGGACACTTCCATATGCCTGCCATCCTGCTCATACTGCAGTGCCTCACTTGTTCAAGTATTGCAACACAAGCATAACTAATTCAAAGTCTTATAAGTGCTATCAAAGCCAGCATCTTCTAAGTAAATTCATAAATGTGAAATGAGAAGTATGGGGGTATTATTTTAAGTTATTAGAAATTATCTTAGTAGAAACTCTTATGTTCAATAAGAGTGCTTCTTGTGAGCCAGGCATGGTGGCTGCACATTTAATCCTAGCACTGCACTCTGGAGGCAGAGGCAGGCTGATCTCTATGAGATAGAGACCAGGCTGGTTTACATAGCCAGTTCCAGCTGTGGATATAAGGAGACCCTGCCTTTCAAAAGATGATTCAAAAAGCCCTTCCTTGAAATTACTTGGTCCAGAGCCTCTCAATCAACCATGTTGCTCTCATTAGTGTAGCAAGTGCTTTGACAGGTGGAACTGTGGAACAGCGGATCTAAGAGACCTAAATGATCTTAAGAAGGCTGTAAAAACTGACCATGTTTTTATAATGAACAGATAAATATAAAACTGCTAAATAAAGTGCCTTGCCTGCTCAGCCTTCTGTCTCTCTCCAAGAAAGCCTTGGAGAATTGCAAGAGCCTAGAGTTTTAAATTTTAATTCCCCTACATTTTCACACAAAGAGGCTGAGGCCCAAAGAGATGAAATGTTTAAACTAGAAATTCCTGGAACATTCTCATCTTCTAAAACTTATTTCTCACCGGGCTAAAGAGATGGCTTGGCAGTTAAGAGCACTGGTTGCTCTTGCAGAGGAACCAGATTCAATTCCCAACACCCACATGGTAGCCAACAACTGTTTCTAACTCCAGTTCCAGGGTGTCTGATGCTCTTCTCTGACCTCCGTGGGTACTGCAAGGTATGGCTGCACTTACACACATGCAGGCAATACAGTCATACACATAAAATAAAAATAATAAATAAATATTTAAAAAAATGTTTCTTGCCAATTCAGATTTGTGATGCTTGGCTACATTTATTCCTGAAACTGTGGTTATTTACAAACAGACCAAGAAATTTGGTCTAATGCTGTGAGCCTCTAGCCTCTCCCAGGAACTGCCTAGTTCTTGTTCCACTTCAACCCGCATGGCTGATGCTGTCTCCCTGCCCTGGCACTGCTGTTCTGTCATTCACATGTAGCTCCTCTGAGAAGGGGTATTTAAAGGCTGATCTCAGGACTTGCTCTCACATCTTAGATGCCATGGCTGTAGAAGCTGTGACTGGACTGAAATCTGATGCCTATGAATACATGTGAATATAACTGACTACGATGTGTGATTTCAAAACAAGGTTTTTATTTTTATTTTCATTCATTGTGTTACCAACATGTTTATGGATTCATACAAAAAGTAAAACAGTCAGTAATGTTAGTTTTTTATTATGCCTAAATATTTTGCATAGCACTATCCTAAACTCATTTAATCGAGTTGAAAATGAAAATGAAAATGCCTCATGCCACTGTACAAAAGCCATGAAATATAACAAGTTAGATATAGTTGTTTTAGTGGTTCAATCTCTGACAAAGACAAAAATAATAAATGCCATCAAATTTTTTATGTGTTACAACTTCACCCCATTAAAAATCTGAAACTGGTGAAGTCATCAGGTATGTCGGCATTATCTTGGTACTATTTATGTGTTGGCTAACACAAATACATTTGCAACTAGGTTGAACAACTTTTCCCACTATCCCATGTCACTAAGTGTTGAAAGGAAAGCAAAACTTTAAATTAAACAATCTGCCTATTCCCAGTTGACACAAGAATAAATCATGTCAGGTACTTATATTCCCTAACTCCTTGTTTCTTGACCTAGATACTAATTTAGCAGATTATTAAGGTCAAAGTACTAAAATATCATTCCTTTAAAAAGACCATGTTTGTATTTAGGTCACAGCTTTACAATGGGCCTTGTCTACTAAGAAGTACTCTTGTATTTGTTTGAAAAGGAGCAGTCTGCCTTTTCTCCAACATAAATATGCAAGCATAAGACTGTTTCCTTTCCCAGGTCTGTGGGCGTGCTTCTGGTCTCTGTCTGACCAGCATCCCTGTGGTCAGCTTGGCATTCCTCACAGAGTGACAAGACAGCTGGATTACTAACTAAGCTTCTGAAATGCCTGGGGATCAAAGTCAGCCTCACCACAAGGCAAGCAGGAGGGACTGCTTGGGCCATAATAGAGAAGAGTTGAGGTCTATGGTCTATGAAAGAAAAAGAAAACAGGGATTTTTCTTCATGAGACAAATGAAAAAAATATGCTGTGGTTGAAAGCAAGGAATTTGGTGTGAGGCTGACCTGACTGGGGTTATATCTCAGCTCTGTTGCTCAAGAGTGTAAACCTTAACAACTTATTTAACCTCTCTAAGCATCAGTTTCCACAACTATATAAAGAGAGCTGATAAAATAAAATTTATTTTGCTGAAGATAAAATTTTGTAAGCAAAATTTTACAAATACAATGTCATTTGATTAAAATTTGTGTAGTATCTTATTTAGATAAAGGAAACATTAGCAATATTTGACATCATGGTGTTATTAGTATTAGCTAATAACTAGATTTATTGTGTAGTTTTTTTGTTCACTGAAGCAAGAGCCTAACATCTATTGTCTTCTTTGACCTTCATATTCTTCCTTAGCCATTCCCTATTGGCATTCCCTAACCACAGAGAAGCAAACTTAAAGTACTATTTTAAGAATTGTAATGATGGGACTGGAGAGATGGTTCAATAGTTAAGAACACTGGCTTCTCTTGAAGAGGACCCATGTTCAATACCCAGCACCCACATGGTGGGTAACAGCCATCCTAACTCCAGATGTAGGGAATCTGAAACTCTCTTCTGACCTCCACAGCATTACATGACACAGGTGCACTTACCTACATGCAAGCGATACACTCATACACATAAATTAAAAATTAATAATAATAAATAAAATGTTTTTTAGAAAAAGAATTGTAAAGAGTAAATAGTGCTCCTGAAAAGTTTGGAGAATAACCGACCTTCTTAGAATAAGCATTCCGTGAAATCAGCCATTAACACTTCTTTGGAAATATTCAAGATTATTCTGAGATGTAAATACTTATGGTCATCTACCCCACAATTTCTAGCCGTTTAAAACTGTAACTTAGGTCAACCAGACATTGTCCCCAGTAGACATCTCATCCTGATCACATTTTCTACTGCCAGACTTGAAACTCAGATACTGCATACTTCAGGAAGGCTGGTAGGAAGAGACCTTCATGTCAACATCAGGAACCATCTTCATACTGTGCTTCTGAGCAGGTTGACAGCATAACTCCAAAGTCAAATATTGATAATGTTTCCTTTATCCAAATAAAATACTACAAAAATTTTAATCAAATGATGCTGTATTGAATTATAACAAATTTTGCTTGCAAAATTTTATCTTCATCTTCAGTAAGGCCAAAGCAGCTTTATTTTGTCGGTTATGCTAGCAAAAAAAAAGAAGTTTCCTAATATGTAATGAATATATAATAAGACACCATGGTATTATTAGTATTAGCTACAAAGTAGATTTATTGTATAGTTATTTTGTTCACTAAAGCAAGAACCTACCATCTATTATCTTCTTTGATAGTCACATTCTCCCCAAGGCATTCCCTATTGACATTCCCCAACCACAAATGAGCAAACTGAGGCTAAATGCATTTAAACCACATGCCCAGAGTTGCTTATACATTATGTAGAAGAAACGTGATGATTTTAAAGCCTAAGATTTGAGTTCTATTTTCTACTGTCTGTCTTTATATGACTTAGATTTCTCTTGCTTAAGAAAGTAGAGGTTTACCCAAATCCAGAACAATAAAAGGAACACATTCTTTCAGGTAACAACCAGAACTATGTATAAAAGCCAAAGGGATTCTCCCATTCTTATTTTTAAACTTAACATAAACTTGCATTTCCTACTATACCTAATTTGTATGGTGGAGTATCAAGAAATCAACCTGAGACCCCAAAAGGCATGACTTCTCTGCAATCTATTAGGTATCAGATTTTTATCTCTCAGTCTTTAAAGATGTTCCCTTAATCCTCATATAGTAATATCAAGAAGGCTAATTTGTCTTCCCCCTTAATATGTAAGATTCACTGGTGTTACTTACAAGGGTGAAATGCCAAGTAGAGTAAGCCCTGGGTTTGATGAGGGCCATCCTTTCTGAACATCTTGAAATAGGCTTTTAGACTGACTCATTTAGCTGAGCTGTGTATCTTTAACAACACAGAAACGTATGAGGTCAATGTTTGCAAGGATTTAGCCCTCTCATCAAGCTTCAGTTAGAAAACTCACCCCAATGAACTTCCTAAGAAATTCACGAGAGGCCTGGATATCTGGGTTGGATAGTTCAATAAAATTTCCCATCATTCCTTGTTCTGTGGCTGGTACTTCTTGGTAGAAAAGTTTAGCTCTGGCATAGAACTGCATCTCACCATTGATGACTTGGCTTGTTAAAGCATACAATTTCACTGTAAAAGAAACATTATCAGAAATTATTAGTATTTATAGGATACAACAAGCTGAGTTTCACAATGCAGTGCCTTTCTTAAGACTCCATGAATTTGTGCTGTAAAGGAAAGGACATTGGTTTGGAATCTGGAATTGAGTTCTAGCTTGGTGACTTGCATGCTTTTTAACACTGAGAAAACTATTAAGCCCTATGATCTTCAAGGATATTATTTATGGATCACAACAGCATGACATTCTCATAACTGAATACTTAGTTTAATAAACATAACTTACTAGTGTATGAAAATGTCTAATAGTACTTGTTAGAGCAGAATAAGCCATCCCAATATATCATGGTGAGTTTTATCTCTGAACAGCAAGTATTTTGTGGCAATTTTCTCATTAATCTTTGTTTCTAACCTCTATTTTTCACTTCTTTTAAAGCAACACATACCAGTATGTCTCTTTGCCAACATCTCAGAAATGCACTCAGTGTCTATCCTCTCAAAATAAAATGATAGAAAGAGAAATATTAAAAGTAACATTTTCTGAGAAGCTTGCTAGGCACATTCACATATGCCATGTCATTTTATAATTTTTAAAACCCATGATATATTTTTAAGGCATGTCTTTTTACCAAGGAAATTCATGTTATACGTTATCATAGAATTGCAATGTCTCTGTGAAATCTGAGATAGTTTAAGACAGAGAATAGATACAATATGGTACTTATTTCTTGACCTATATTATGTACTGAACTTGCAAAGACTTTCCAGTTTTGTACTTGTTACAAAAAGAAAAATAAAGTAGACATTCAATTGCTCCAAAAAGAAAAAGATTTTGTGAACTTTTTAGGAATATCCAAGAGACTGTACAGCGAGATTCAATGTACCATGGCTTGCTTATTAAGCACTAATTCTGCCCTTGGCAATCAAGAAATACACAGCTTGATCCCTGTCTCATGGATATTACAACCTAGAAAGGGGAGTTAAGTCATATGTCTCTGCATTCCCAATGAATGGTGCAAACAATCCTTTTCTTAGGGTTTTGGCAGATGTCTACAAGTAGAAGCAATTAGAGAAAGATTCAAAAAAGAACTCAGCCATGAAACATGTTTTTATTTTGGTTAAGAGGAAAGGAATTCCACATGGTATGGATCAAGCTTCCTGTACTGCAGGTAACTGAATGTGAGGTCACAAAAAGTTAACAATGAAAGTTGGCAAAAATTCAAAATCAAATGCACAGAAAATCTTAAGTTTTGTGGCAACACTTGACCATGTTGCATCATGTGACTTCACTGCACCCAAAATTCTGAGCACACACCTTGCAATGCACATACCCTCATGTCACACAACACCAATGAACACTGCCTGAAACACCACAGCTCAGATTCTGGACTAATGCATGCCATGAATTGCAGTGTTTTTTAATTATATATACATGGTTTCCTGCTCTTGTAGAAACAGAATGGTTTAATTACAAAAAAATACTTTTAATATTTTGCTACCATTATTTCTCAGCATGTATCAAATTAGTATGTCTTTGCATTGCATTCTGTTAGCTATTTGATTTTTAGAAAAATAGTGTAATGGTTGCTGACTTGAGTTACATTAAAACTGTGTTAAATGAATTTGGAGTTGGGATTAAGACAAAATTTCTAACCATTTATGAAATGGCTCTAAACATATTTCTGTCATCTTGTACTATGAATTTACACAAAGCAACATTGTCAGCATTAATTATTGATTATAAAATAAAAATATTAATCAACTCTGAAAAATGTTGAAGATGCTCGATATCCTGCAGTATCAAATATTCAGATGACATTTAATTCTTTATGAAAAAAATCGATCATACCATTCTCATTTGTATGAAAATTTGCTTTTGTCTTCAGGAAATCATAAAATAATATGTATAGCAATGAATTATTTTAAAATGAATTTATTTGTGATTTATTCTTTATGATTGATTCAATGTTTGATATATATATATAATATCTATCTATACCAGGTTAAGTACAGATTTCTCTGTTGAGAAGCCACTTGGTAGAGGAAAAACCCTGAGAAACCCTGGTGTACAGCATCATCTAGATAAACTGCAAGATTTTCAAATGTCTTCACTGAGAAAGTCTCTTGTAGGTAGTTGAAGAATTATTGCCCGGGTTCTCAGCTTCTAACTGTCCAAGAGGCAAAGAAATTGAATTTACCTTAAGCTGATATGTTATTGATGTTTTTGCTGTCTTTTGACATGTTTTTGAGAGAAGACTATTAGCTCAAAATCTTAGTGTAGACCTAAAAGAATATATCGACCCAATGTCAGAAGAAGCCAAAAAAATACGGTAAAATTTCTCAAGTGCCAAAAAAATGAAGACTTTCTAATAAACAGGAAATTTTGTCAATAGTTACGTGCTCATCTTTGCTGAGTATCTTCTTTTTTCTTTCTGTTTTTATATGGATGGCTATAGCTATTTTATTTTCTTTATTCCAGAGTTTGGCCTATTTTTAAACTAAAAACTGATCTGAGTCTCCAGGGGATATATAGGCTAGGTTTAAATAGTAGCTTTGAAATGATTTGATAAAGAAAATAATGAACCAGCTTAACACAATTAGATGTTCTTATGAAAAATAAGAATTTCCATGAAAGAGATGTATGTATGAGCACTTTACAATTAAAGTGCCAGTG